CAATCTTAACCACAAATCAATAGATAAATTAGGAAATTTATAATTTTGGTAATTTTGAAAAAAAAATTAATGCAAGGACATTTTAAATATTTTCTCTCCTCTCTTCTCTCTCTGTCCCCCCGTCCTTCGGCCATCGTCTTCTGATGATACCACTGTGATACCTAAAAATATTAACTCTGTTAAACAAAAAACACAACGTGATACCCAAACACATACATGATGCATTGTGATATCATTGTGTTACATCTCTGATCGACCACACAAACGACCTCAGTATGATACCCAAATACATATACGATACATTGTGATACCATTGTGGTATCACCAAAGGACGGTGGCTGGAGGACGGGGGACAGAGAGATAAGAGAGGAGAGATTTAAAATACCTAAAATGTCATTGCATTAAAATTTTAATTTAAAATTACCAAATTATAAATTTCTTAATTTATCTATTGATTTGTGGTTGAGATTGAACCTCACGGTTACCACAAACTAATTACTTCTCATTTGATTAGTCCCCCCATATATATGTTCCCCCATATATATATATATATATATATATATATATATATCCAAATTTATAGATCTACGAGAAACGAGATGAGTAAAATATAAAAAGTTCATACTACATTTTATATTAAAAGTCTTATAAATTAAAACAATAAAAATGTTTTAAAGTGAGAAAGTAACACAAAAAGATAACTTAAATAGAATTATTATTCTATGAAAAATAACTAGGTAAATGTTAAAACATGTATAAAATTTATGGGATCAGTGTTGATCCTGATATTTTATGCGTCTTGGACGATTTATAAAAAATGGGCCATTTGTATCTAAAAATTATGTATAATAAATATAAATAATTCATACAACACAACTTCAATGATAATTCATAGAAAACAACTATAATAATAATTCATACAAAACAACTTCTTCGAGAATTCTTCAATACAAAACTATCAATAATAGTATCCAAATCAATATCCAGTATATCTATTTCAATACACAGGATTGCCAATCCGTTTAGCATTTCTTGTGATATTAATGACCTTAAGGATGTCTTCAATAGCTTCAACTTTGAAAAACTTTTTTCGATAGATGCTACAGTCACATGAACTGTCAAACATAATTCGATATGCAACTGAAACATTAGGGTAACAATCTACAATTTTGAGAAACTCAAGAATATCAATCGCCGACATTGATTTATACTGTAAAGTTACTTGCAACACCTTTAATTCAGAAAGAAAATAATTTAAATCTACATCTGACACATTATTATGACAAAAGGTATTTTAGCAAAATTAACACAACATCTCATCAATTCATCCTCATCCAATGGCTTTAGCTTATCAGAATTAAATAATAATTCAAAAATACTTTCAAATTTATTATCTAATGAAGAAATTCTCAATATCCACAATGGTTAGAAAATAATTAATTCTAAAAGATTCTTCTTCCAATGCTTGCATATTTCTTCATTGTTATTTTCACCGACTTGCTTTTTCCTAATAATACGATGCTTGGTTATAAATGTAAGATCTATATTCATTTCACATGCTACTTTTTTAGCGGTATCCATACTTGATGTAAACCATCATTCCTATACTTTTCAAAGTATTTCATCACATCATCAAATTGTTCCATGGTAGTATTAATAGACACATATTTGAATTGCAACTTTTTACTAACCATGTTTGTTGCAAATAAAATATCATACCAAATAACCATACAAAGTAAAAACTTAAAATTTTCAATTGCACTTACCAAACTTTCCGCTTCACTTTTCGACTTGGCATCATCACATGCTTTTGATAATTCAAGTAAAACCGATCTTATTTGAGGAGCTTGAAATCTAATGTCTTTCACACTTCTTATTCTACTCTCCCAACGTGTATTGCATAAATAATTTACAATAATGTTTGAAACATTATCAAGTAACACCTTCCATCTTTTTGTAGAACTAGAAACTAATATGTATATACGTTGCACAATTCCAAAAAACGAAACAACTTTAACACAAGAATGAGTTATATCGCTAAGAGTGAGATTAAGGTTATGACAAGTACATGACATATACAAAGCTTTTGGATTAATTTCAAGTAATCGGTTTTGTACCATTTGGTGTTTCCCCTTTATATTAGAACTATTGTCATAGCCTTGATCCCTCATATCATCGACACTAAGATCAAGAGATTTAAGTACATCTAATAAGTCATTGAACATTCCTAAACCAGATGTATCATCAAACTTTAAAAGTCCTAAAAAGTATTATATTTTTATTTTATTACCAAACATATTCACACATCATATGATTAAACTCATTTGCTTTTGATAACTCACATCCGGTGTATAATCAAGAATTACAGAAAAATATTTAGCCTCTTTGATAATTTTTATGATATAATTTTTAACTCTACGAGTCAAAAGAGAAATCAACTCATTTTGAATTTTAGAACCAAGATAATGATAATGAATGTCATGATTTTGAATGCGTCTAATGTGATCTTGAATCATCACATTAAATTCTCCAATCATTTCAATTAATCCCAAAAAGTTACCATTACCATATTGATATAACTTCTCATTAGATCCTTTAAAAGGCAAAGAATATTTGGCAAGACATTTCACAACCGCAATTATTCTTACTAAAACTTGCCTCAAACGTTCTCTCTTTTAAAATTTCTTGTTGTAAATCTTTATCAATCGTTTGGCTTGTATTTGGCCTTATTTTCAATTCATTACAAGATAACATATTACTCATATGCTCAATACTATTCTCATGTTCCTCAAGTCTTTCACCAAGATGCTTCCAATCTCTAGATCCATCATTAACTATTGCATTTTTATAGTTTCTAGACTTGAACAACTTGCAACAAAAACAATACACTTTGTCCACATATTTTGAATAAACTAGCCATTTCCAGTCACTAGACTCACCATTACTTAACTTTCTATCATAATAAGAATAAGAAAAATGCCTAGACGTGCTATCTAAAGGAAACACTATATTAAATTCTCTAATAGGCCCATTTTAAACTAAAATATCTCTTAATTTGTTGTCAAGATTATCCTAATTACTAGGATCATAAATATCAAAAAAGGGGGTAATATTGTTCAACATTAAATTCAACATTTGGGTGCTCAACATTATGTTCATCAAAATCTTCATTAGATGTGCCTACGCCTTTAACAAATTTGTCCATGGCTCCTTTTTATTATTGTACTAATTGCTCAACCAATTTTTTTTTCCTTTTGTCACTTCCAGACAAATGCTTTTTAGGCATCATGCTTAAACAATTAACAACTCAAACAAAATAAAAATTGAAGCACCCGAGTCTTGGAATATGTATCGAAATCGAATAAGTTGACTCTGGTATTCCTTGATTTGTAGATTGTAGTCTGTAGATTTAAAAAAATAGACAAAGTTAGCTATTAGTCTTGGGCAGTGAGAAAGTGGTTAGTTTCTTGTTAATTTTGGCATAGAATAAAAAGGAATATGAATAGTAAAACAGTCCCAAGATAGAATTCGGATAAATAAATAACATATGAACAGAAAAGGAAAAGAGGTACACAGCCCCCCTCCCTCTTGCAATGGACATATAACAAGAGTGGAATAATCAATGTACTACATGGAAAATCTAATATTTGTTCTATATTGATATAAAGTTCTTGAGCTCAAGGGAACTACTTAACCGATAAATCATTTTGGTCTGAAACCAAATTGGCACTTCCTAACTGTACCATCTACACAAAAGTCGACAACATGTGTGATATCAACAGACTACTAAAAGAAAGAAGGTGATCAAAACCAAACCTTAGAGTTCCACCACAGATTTACAACATGCTTCTATTCGTATTAAGATCTATATGACAGATTCCAATAAACATTCTCAGTTGGAAGAATCAGGGATTATTCAATTAGCATCCAAGACTGCTTCAATAATCACAATCCCATACGCTAAAAACTTCTATTGATTTCCAAACAGAACACTAAGGTCTAGGATTCGGCTTTGAGCCGAAAGAAAAAATTATATCTACATTCAAGCAATAAAAGTAGCGACATCACTTTCTATTCTTGGAATATATATGCAGTTTGTTCTTCCAAAAAAGCCTCGAGTAAAAGTCTAAGACCAACGAATTGCAAACTCGGTTAAACTCTAACAACACAAAAAATTGATGAATGAGACTGTTTTGATAAATCGAAAAACTAAAAAATTATTACTTACAGAAATCACAATCTTGATTCTTGAAGTCTAAAACTC